AAGTATAATCTCGAAATTATTAGATTAATATTCTTATTACACAATTTTGAAATTTGAGAAAATATCGCATTTACAACATTAAAATAAATCAGATTTAGGATATGATATTTATGTTTTTTTATCTTCTTGTAGGGTATCCTGGGATTCTACAAAGGTATCGTGGCATCCTACATAGGCATAAGTGAGACTGTGATACACTTTGTGATATATGAAGCTGTGAAGGCGTGGCTAGCTACACATAGATCGCGTGCTTCTCAAACAGATGACAGGAAGACGTTCCGTGATTTCATCGAATTTATGGCTGCAGGTTCATTTTCAAAAACGATAGCGTCAACTATTGCCTATCCTCATGGTAAGAATATTTTAACTATTTTATGGAATTACATATGGATTTATGGAACGCTCAGTTAAACTTAACTAATCATTTCTTAAACGAAACAAATCTGTAGAATTCTTTTAATAATTTATAAGTTTCAACGACTATAATTTACTTAATTTTTTTGTGTACTTAAGTTAGTTATAATATTTGTATATATGTTAGATTGATTTTAGTATTCGAAGAATTTAATAAAAATTTACATCAATACATAATTAAAAATTTAGCTCACTATTAAGAGAATATGAGAATATATAACATTAAGAATATCATTAGTTATTGATTATTTAGAACTATAGATGAAAAAAATATTTTTTAAAAATTATCTCTACATTTACAACAATATAATCTAAAGATTGCGCTATCAAAATACAATTTTTTATAATTACTAAGTAACATCTTTTTCTTTTTAGTAAAATTATTTAATTTAGTAATAGTTAATTTGAACTGATGTATGCTTAACGCATTCATTGCCAAGCATATTTTACGATATTTTAACTAACTTTTTGTTTATATTTTTAAATGAAAAAATTGAATTATTTTATCAAAAAATTAAATTTATATTGAATATAGTATTGAGCATAAAAATATAAGATGTAATGTATTTATTTGACTGTCGTCTGATGATGTCGTCATTAATAAATAACAAGAAATAAAAAACTCAATGTTAGTAACTGTCATAATCGATAGCAATGAATAATGCATTAACAGATCATGCGAATTATAAAAACTTTTCTAGTATTTTGATTTTATTGATGAGTAGTAGATTTCTTTCTCTACTTTGTTCTTTCATTACTTTGTGAAGATTCTCCGAGTTGGTCTAAAGATATAACACCAGCTATATTTGCAACGCGTGTGAGACACTCAGTGCGTACTTACACGTTATATCTAGCTACAAATATTTGGCGTTCTGGCTGTTTAAATAAATAATATCAGATCTGTATTATACTATACTTATTTCGAAACTGTTCTGCAAATCAACATTATCATACATAGATCGCATGCGTTTTCGTAGAAAAACGAATTACATGAAATCAGAGCATTTCTATTCAGAGAAAACTGCGTCATCACATATCAGTTATTTTCCGATCGTTACGATAATAGAAAATCAATTTTATGATTATATATTTTTGATATATAATCACTTTAGTTTGTTCTAATCTTATTTAAATATCCTCAAAACCATATTGTAGAAATTGCTGATCCAAAATACACAGAATTCTTATATATAGATTTTTTCAATTTTATAATAAAATTAAAATTTCAATCTGAGATAATCTTATATAAAAGTTATTTGTCTGAGATTGATTTAAAAATGAATACAAACACATTTATATGGATAGAAGAATATTCATCATCTTCAATATATAATAATTTCATGATAGATGTAGGAGATCCGATCAAGGATGAAAATATAATTTATATTCTTTTTCCTATTTAGAGGTCGCAAGAACCCGGTTGCGAGAAGAGGGTACCAAATATCGCACATTTTGGCAAACCTTGAATACTGTATGGACGGAAGAGGGCACAAAGGGTCTCTATCGAGGTCTTGGCACTCAGCTGATTCGGCAGATTCCGAACACCGCTATTATAATGGCAACATATGAAGCGGTAGTATATATATTGACCCGACATTTCCGGCCAGTTACGGTGGCGACATCCAACACTGATGTGACATCAGAATTCTATAACGAGGCTAAAGCGAAGAGAGAGCTGGCCTAGGATTTGCTTACGGCCCCCGAGTAAAGGGCCACCTATCAACCATTTCCCCTTCTCCAGTAGGCGAATACTGCACGTATTTGGAGCAGCATCCTAAGATCTAATCGCACATCTAGGCACATCGAGAGCAGCTGGAAACGCGTTCGGTGCCCTAATCATTGCTCCAGGGGTACTCAAAAAGGTACCAGCTCTTTGGTCGCACTGTGCTCTAAAAGTATAGCAAAAAGTAGTCCTTCCTCCTTTCAGATAGCATGTACATATCCAGACATGGACCCGCTGTATCTCGCAGGGAAAGAAAAGGGGAATTGAGGAAAGCAGATTTTATTTAGCGTCGGATAGAAGGCTGAGACTTCGCTTCTCGTTCGCGAAAATGTGTACGTGAATATCGCAAAAGTGCTTGTATTGTGTTATAAAATTTATTCAAGACAAATTAGTCTCTGCTCCAGAAACAAAACTCACTTCGAATCCAAAACGTGTGAGGCTCATTATAATAGTCATTGTAGACTTTAGTTTCTGACCTAAGAGTTTTGATTCTGATATTGTTCTTTGTTCCACGATTACAATTTTTCTTTGTATCTCTCTCTTTTTTTCACTTTTTATTCACAAGACAAAATTAAAAAGAAAATGAAAAACGTAAAATTAGACTTTGGAAAAGGATTGTATTTGTAATTTTACAATGCTCCGTGAAAGAGCGGCAAATTTAACACGTATAGTAACTTTTGAATTTATAAATTATGTAAAGCATGATGATTTTTCCACTTGTTTCAAGTGAAATATTTGTGTTAGAAATCGATTCTTTTGACTGATTTTGGTCGTAAATGTAATATATTGTAGATCCACTTCTCTTAAAAATTTCAATATTTCTATCTTAGGATTCTAGTAAAACTCATATGTTGTAAAATTGTGATAAATATTTCAATATATATTAAATTTTACGAAAAAATTGTTTTGCTTTATGTTATATCACAAAACTTTGAACAGCAGTATATTGAAAATTATATACTTTATTTTGATATTAGCATATCCAAGAAAGTTACCTCACAAATAATCCATTTGAAAAATTATTAAATTATGACTGAACGATCTATGTTTATGATTCTTATAAGGTTTTTTTATATATTTGTTATGTCGACATTCTTATATTTGAATTTATGTACCAGGCAATTTTCAAAAATTTCCGGAATCAGCACAAAATTTACAATATGTATATTTGAATTTTAATTTTTGCACAAATTTGAGAAACATTAATTGTCGTAAGCATATGATGATGGAGCAATAAAAATAATTTCAAAACAACTGAAAGAAATGATTTGAATTTTTATTGCTGACATTATTTAGAATGCGCCAATTTAGCTTTTTTTCGCAAACTGACTCTTGGAAATACTTTCAGTTTTGCAAAATTGGATAATACAAAAAAAGCAGAAAATTTTCGTTGAAGAAAATGTTACATTCTAATACGAAATTTTCTTTTATAGATAATAACGTAATTGTGTTTTGTATTTCAGAAAAATGAAAAAATTTCAGAAATTTTTAAAAATACCTTTTACACTTTATAAAATTTTATAACATATTTTCCAATAAATTCAATTTCACTTTTTATTATAGTGATAATTTCTGTTTGATATATATTCTTTGTTTTATCATAATTTTACTGTATTTTTTTTGTATTCAGCAATCGACTTTTCTCGCCGATATTTTGCGATAAATTGTAACTAATTCTTAATGAACCAATATATGTTTGAATTTATTTTTAGAAACAAAGTAACTATGGGCGCGTTCAATCCGAACAAAACGGTTGGCCTGCTCGTCGAGCGATTGAATGTGGTTGGTTGGATCTGTAAAAAACAACCAATCCTTCATTCATCCTTGGCGAACAGGCTAGCCACTTTATCGATTTGAACGCACCTAATGTTAATATTAGAATACCTGTCAGAGGACTAGCGTATATTAAACTGTTCTGATAGATTCCACTTTATTTATATATAAAGATATCGCGACGTTGTGTACATATCGAATTTGTAGGCGCTAATTGTGTACATGTACGAGCGTTCATACATTGAATTAGTCATAACACATCGCATGATCTTTAGTAAGAAAGTATTACGAGAATATGAAATTATCATCAATACACTGAGTGTATATCTCTTACAGATCTGTTATCAGACTTATCAGACACGCGAAATAGTTAACAACTTATCCTTATTGGTATTTTAAACTATCCCTAAAATTATTTAAATTAACATTACGTATCTATTTTTGTGGGAAGGTACTAAAAAAACGTTTGTAATTAAAAGTTTGTCGACATTAAAATTTTTACAGAGTTTGTTTTATGAATGAAACAATTCCTTTCCTTTTCTTTCTTTTCTTTTCGAACAACTGTGTAATTTGTTCGAAAATAATTCTACTTAGTTATAAAATAATTTTATCCAGTTTTTGTTTATAAGTAATCTTCAATTTTTTAATGGAAGCATAATAAAATGTTATAATATTAATTTAAAATGTTTAAATGTTTTATTATAATATCTTTATGTTTTCAAATGCGTGCCATTTTATTAAATTTTTATTAATTATCAGTCACAATATAATATTATGTTTTTGTTTCTACAAAATAGCTATGTAATTTTCTGAAGTTAATAAAGTTATATGCAAAGCGTTCCGCTTAAACGTTTAATAAAAGGAAATTATCATCAATTCTGAATTTATCATAATTTACAGTGACATATATCCTTCCAAGTACAATAACTAAAAAAAATTTCAGAACTGCTTTTTTGGCACCTATTTTCTGTTGACTAATTCTCTCTTTGTATATTACACCACATTTCTTTTGTTATACGTCTAAGCAAAGCATCTGTATATTAATATTTTATATCAACGTTCTAGAATTAAATTTTATATATTCGATACCTTTCGCACAGTTTTATGGTGTTCAAAAAAAATTTATATTATACATTTATTATTTTCTAAAACCATAGTCATATATATACTTGATCGATTAATACTCGATTTAAGCCATGATTTTGATCAAGAAAATGGAAAATGTGAAAAATACATAATTAATACATTTCACTGGTTATATAAGGAAATGATATATAAGGAAAATTATGTAAAGCATGATGATTTCTTCATATTATACGTAAATAAGCTGTGATTTTATTTTATTCATTACCAGTGGAGCTTTGCGCTTATCAATACAGCAGGTTGTATTCACAAAGTTTATGTACTCTGTCCTACAAGTCGTATAAATTAGACTTAGAATTATAATAATTAAGAAAAGATAATAAGATTTTAAGGAACACAAAAATTCATTTATTCGTTTTTTAGTGTTAATTTGGGATGATTTTGAATGAAAATATAACTATTATCAACGAAAATAGTATCTACTATTAACAGATGCACGACAAATAAGTCATCTCATTTGATCTTTCTCAAAAATGAAGCCTAAAAGAGATATCTGAGAGAAATATGCGACTTCTAGAACATCGTATGTGATTGATATGTTAATTGTTAACATCTTATTGAGACTTCTATGATACCGTTGTCAATTGTAAAATATGTATGCTCCAGGAAAACAGATTCTAAGTGCCAGGCTGTTATTAATCGCATAGTCATTTGCATAAGAATATCGTGCACCTCTTAAAGGATCGCGTAAGTATATGAGAACTGGATGTGTGTGCCAAGTTGTAAAGCATGTATAGATATTAGATAGACGGTTATTGGAATAAGCAATGAATTTTTCTAATGGAGAGAACAATTGACAAAAGATGTAAAGAGAATGAGAGAGGAGAGCGAGAGAGAGAGAGAGAGAAAGAGAATGAAAGAAATATTTCGCGAGCGTTTCGTTAAAGACTGACGTTGTACAATTACTTAGTGTAGCGTGAGAAAATCAATGCGTATATAAATATATGAAAGATCCTGTAATGTAATTGCGTGGTGGTGTCTTTAAAAACGGAAAATTAATTTAAGTTTCGGTCAATATATATGAAATATCACAAGTGCATCTTTATTTTTCTAAATAAAGCATTTTTATTTGTTTCTTACCTTTCTCATTTGTGTTCGAATAGGTCGCTGAAATTCAATGAGATTCATAGCAAACGTAAATCAAACTTATCGAAGTTCTACAAAGAGAAAAGCCGTTACTAAATAATGTAAAATTACGACTTTCTTGAAAACGAAGCCTCATACATGTAAAAAATTTATTGTACATTTTTGATTTATTTTTTTATATAGAATTATCTTCCCGATTGTATTATTGACTACAGGGTATCATCTGTATGTATATAGCTTATGATACCCAGTAAGGAAATTGTAATATGTACGGATAAATTTATGTGTATTTAAATATCTCAATAAAGAATAAAAATATGCTTGTTTGCTTAAATTCTTTTAATAATATTTGTTAAATAACACGATATCATTATCAACAATATCATTATTACGGGTATTGTTCAAAATATTTATATGCTTCTACATTTAACTTTGCTAATTTTATATAGCAGATATACATATTGTTAGTATAGTAACGACATATTGTAGTAAGACATTATTAGTATATCTAGCATAATGCATAAATGAGTGCTAATATATTCGTTAATAAATTTTTACTATTTTTCAGTACTAGTATATATAATAGAACACGATTTACAAATACAATTTCAAATTTTGCACTTTTTTGTCACGACGCATGTTCATATCACAACACAGCACAAACTTCTGGTAACAGTGATAAGTGGTAACCCTGTTTTCGAACATGGAGGAAAGAATCACCATGGTACCAAGCTATCTCTATCAACTCTGATCGACTTTTATCTTGAAGGAAAACCACAAAAAAGACAAAACAGGAAAACCACAAAAAAGGCAAAACAGAATAAGAGGCCAAAACGTTAGAGATAAGTAAAAAGCAAAAAATAGAAAGCAAAGATACATTGTAGAATTAACCTTTAAATAGACAAGCGCAAAAAACAGAATACAGTGTTATTATTTACACACACTACATATATTAACTACAAACAGAATGACGGGCGTTGCCGTGGTACGTATAAATTACGCAACTATATGAACAGAATCTTTGTATTTCTATTGTAATTTTCTTTTCCAGAAGATTAATTGAGTATAGTTCTTTGTAGCTGCGTTTCATTATACTTAAAATGAAATAAGTATATACAGATAGTATATACTGTGTAAAAAAAAGATTACATATTTTGAGAAAATAAGTATTTATCAAAACAAAAAAAATCTAGTAAACATACGTCCAAAACAAATATCAGTTGAGATTTAATTGAAATTGTTGAAATATAGGATAATTTCTGAGTGCATTCTATTTTATGCATAAATATTTTATTCTTTACTGAAGTAAAGAATAAGGATAAAATAATACATCATGCTCATTATGCATAAAATGGAATATACTCTTTATTATCACTAAACTCCCATTCATTTAATAAGAAATAGATTGGGTTGGTCAGGGAAGTCCAGAGAGTAGTTTGGTCTATCTTATCTTCCCCTAATCTTAATCCTTCAGATATTTAGGAATTATAGGAACATTTAAAGAACAAATAATTTTTTTTTACAAAAGTTTAACTACAAAGAACTCATATTTATTTTTTATAGTGAACTCTCGATATTTATTAGTCTTCCTCTTTTTTCTAATTATATTTCATTTCTCATTTCATTTTAGGCATAGAAGTAACATGTAATTGCAAAACATAGATTTATTGATCTTGATTGATAAATCATGCTGTTATTTAGGTAACTGGTGGAAACAAGGGTATTGGCTTTGCCATTGTGAAAGCTCTTTGTCAGCAGTACAATGGAAACGTTTACTTAACAGCTCGTGACACCACACGTGGTTTGAATGCCGTCAGTGAATTGAAAAAACAAGGCTTGAATCCGAAATTTCATCAATTGGATATCAATGATGACAACAGTGTTAATACATTCCGGGATTACTTACAGAATACATATGATGGTCTTGACATACTGGTCAACAATGCTGCCATAGCATTTAAAGTAATTAAAAACATCAATATAGTAGTAATTAGTTTTTAAAAAATAATCTGACTTTAAACAGAAATAATATATATATTTCTTTCATATTCATATTTATATAAAATATTCGCAAATGTTCTAATTGTATAGTCTTTTTTTATTTCGCAATAGTAAAAAAAATGATACAATATTTAAATATACATAGCAAAAAGAACATATTAGGTTCTCTAAGTTTATATTAGGTGTAGTAAAAATAAATCCATTATTTTTCCATTCAATTTCATGCAAAAATATTGGATTTCTTTTTACTACACCTAATATAAACTTAGAGCAGAAAATAAAATAAAACATTAATAAACGTATTTATACATTTTGATTTAAAACAGAACGATTTTGTAAAAATAAAGTATTAAAAGATATATTAAAATTTATTTGTTACAGGTCAATGCTACGGAACCTTTCGAAGTGCAAGCTGAAGAAACAATACGAGTAAACTACTTCAGCTTACGTAGAGTGTGTACTGCTCTCTATCCGTTACTCAGACCGCATGCTCGCGTAGTTCATGTCTCGAGCAGTGCTGGACGTCTGTCTAATATTACTGGTGATGCATTAAAACAGAAAATAGCCGATCCAAATTTGACTGAAGCAGAATTGGACAAAATCATGCATGAATTTGTCAAGTAAACTTTATTATTTCTTAAAAAACAATTGCATTGATTATAATTTAAAAAGTTTTTTGAAATTTATATTTGTTTACATTTATTTCCAGTGCTGCGAAAGCTGGTACGCATTTACAAGCTGGTTGGTCAAATTCAACGTATGTGGCAAGTAAAATCGGTGTTACCGCTTTAGCTTATATTCACCAATCCATATTTAATACGGATCCCCGAGAAGATATTGTGGTGAATGCAGTACATCCTGGTTATGTTGATACTGATATGAGTAGTCATAAAGGACATTTAACACCAGATCAAGGGGCTGTAGCCCCTGTTTACTGTGCATTGTTACCGGAAAATACAGAGATAAAAGGAAAATATATCTGGTGCGATAAAACATTAGCAGAGTGGAAGTAAGCAAATGGATAAACTGGATTGTATTATTATATTCCTATAATATGGCATAATATACAAGATGTGAAGAGTTGAATTATATTCTAAATGATTATTTTTATGAAACATTGATTATTTTTATTAAACATAGTTACACATAACATTACAAAAGAAAGAGCAAGAATAAAAATTTACAAAAAAAAATAAAAGCTATTTTGTTACAAATACTTTATATTTTAAAACAGCTGAATAAATAAAAATAAGTTGAAGAATGTTATTGTATTATATATTATTACTCATATTAAAAAAAATTTTTAAATCTCAAAACTATTTCATGAATATTATTTTTATAAATAGGAAATTTATGTAATAAAGAGAAGGATGGAGATGGATATATATACATTCTTGACTGTCAACTTGTCAGTCAAAACATTAATTAGAATGTAAAAAATATTTAGGTGTTATGACATCATGCAACACTGCACAAAGGTATGAATCCATTTCCGTGTTGCAATAAGTAAAAAAACAATTGTAATAAAATAATGCATATTAGAACATTAGTACATTATGGGTCTGTTCCAATCATTGAATCATTGCTATATTAATATAAAAATAAAAAAATATTTTATTTAAATAAAGATTGATGCACTATTCAAGAGGGCTATGCAACAAAATTAAGTAAGTTAAATTGAATGTAAAAGATAAACGGCAACAAGTTAATTTGGTAATTATTTAGAACATATCCACCTAAAATCTTAATGAAAATATACTCGTCCGAGTGTACGCGTTTTCACTCAAAATGAAAGAATCTGGCAAAAAAATGCGGCAGTCGGTCTCTTGAACCGAAATATTAAGCTCGAGATTTTAGAAGTTAAGATATCTGTCATTCCGACTCGCTGCAGCGCTACATATGTACGTAAGATCTGTTCTTTTTTGAAGAATTCTGAAATAGTGCAATAAGTTAGAGTGAGACAGTTATAGTTTGGAGCACTTTCAGCGCTTTAAAAACGACAATTCACTACTTTAAAAATAATTCACTATTTTAAAAATGTTGCTTTGTTGCTTGTGAGTTGCTTTAAAAATAATTCACTGCTTTAAAAACAATAATTCACTGTTTTAAAAACATTCATTGTCTTAAAAACAACAATATTACTATTTTAAATATACAAATTCTTTGCATTAGCAATGAATTTGTATTTTTAAAGCAATGAATTGTTGTTTTTAAAGCAGTGAATTGTTGTTTTTAAGGCAATTTATTTTTAAACCAACTTACTACACTATTTCAGAATTCTTCGAAAAAGAACAGATTTTACGTATACGTAGCGCTGCAGCGAGTCGAAATGACATATCTTAACCTAAAATTTCGAACTTTAACGCTTAACATCTCAGTTCACGAGGCCGACCGCCGCATTGTTTTGCTAGATTCTTTCATTTTGAGTGAAAACGCGTCGGATGAGTGTATTTTCATTAAGATTTTAGGTGGGGTATGCTATTCTAAATAATTTAGTCTAATTATTCAACTTAATCTTATGTAATATATACAAAAAAAGGACACAAGTTCATATTCTTTGTGCAGTATTGCATAACGTCATGATGACTACTCAAATCATTCATTAAAATCAGATTTAAAGAGATTACTCTACATTGATGAAGAAACATTAGAGATGAAAGTAATAATCGAAGTTATAATCCTCAATTCTCCCTTCGAATTTCCCTCCGCGAAGTTTTCACGGCATGATATCGATCATGATATCGATATACATTGTAAATATCGAAACTGCTCGCGGTCGACTCAGTCGATCCAAGTAAAAGCAAATGGCGGCTGTGCAGTGGCACATAGTGACTGATTGTATTACCAAGTATTGTGTGTCCCGTGGGTTAACCGATCATCATCTCTGTATCGATCGATGGCAGTTCCGAGCGATGACGCGATGAATAACATAGCACGCGTGGAACAGCTCGTGGGCGACGAATGCCGCATCTGTCTCAAGTCCTGCACGGAGGCGTGCCAGCTCTTCCTCAACGACAGCGGGATACCAGAGAAATTGATGGCCATTGCCGCTGTACAGGTTAGCTCTCTTTTTTTCTTTCTCTCGCCATAGTTTCTAGTTTTATTTTGAATAAGCATCGAAAGCCACCTCTGTATCGAGTAATACCCCCATGTTTACATTTCTCTGTCGCATCCCCGATGTTCTTGAACCCATTCGAATTTTGGAGGATT